TCTAGCAACGCCACCTAATAATATTAATAATGAAATTTTACTAGATTACAACAATGTTGATTTCTGAATTTATATATTTATTTATTTATTTAAAAAAAATATATTTTAAACCTTGTTTTCTAATATCAGCTGGTACACGTTCTAAAGCCATAACAGCTACTGCGCCAGCTTCTTCGGCAATTCTTGCTTGTTCAACATTCACAACATCCATAATTACTCCTCCCTTTAATATTATTTAATGATAATTAAATAATTTTAAAAAAAAAATTTTTTTGATCAGAAAAAATAAAATTAATAAAAACAAACCTTCAACATTTGAGCAAGACCTGTTTTAACTTTGAAGTTGGCTTGAACAGATGAATGATTATTGGTTGTCACTCCATTTGTAAATGTTTTTTTATTAGCAGTCAAATTTGATGGTGTGATAAATTTTGTAGACATTTTTTTTTGCTAAAAAAAAATTCAAAGGTCATTGTATTTATAATCGTAGAGATTTTATACTAATTTTTGTACTAGAAATTTTATTGGGTACATACTTTTCATTTGGATGTATGGAATATGGAACCTGCCAACTACTAATAGTAATAATAATAATAATAATAATAATAGTAATAGTAATAGTACAATAACGATGATTTAGCGGATCTTGATTTAATATTAGTATTAGCAGATGCCTAATACTAATTACTAATACCAACCAATACTATTCTGACGATTTAATATTTTATTATTATTATTATTATATAATAATATATGTCGATCAAAAAACATCTAATGTTGATCATTGAAGTATTTATAAATTCCATATCGAGTAAAAAATACTTTACTGATCTATACAATTGTAAGTTGCAGTCTTAAAAACATCTCCAAAAAATACATTTAAATTTTCATTTTTTTTAAAAAAAAAAAAGCGCAACAATAAGAACAACAACAAAAGAAAAAGAGAAGTCGAAAGAGCCGATACCATGTTTATTAAAAAGAATGGTGGTTATCACCATAATGAAATTACATTAAAAAAAATAGAAAATGCTAAAAAAAAAATCAAAACAATTGGACAAGCGAAAAATAATCAATGACAATGACGACGATGTTATCCGATGTTATCTTATTTTTTTAAGGTAAAAAAAAAAATAAACGAAAATCTATTTGTTTTATTATTTTTTGGAGAAAAAAAATTTTGATTAATATTAATAAAATTTTTAACAATGATGGCGATAGATGAGTTAACGTCGTTGTTTAGGATACAGCGAGAAAAAGGTCTTTAAAAAAATTTCTCAAAATTTTAGATATATGTAGCGAACTCTTGGTCGAAAACATCACGGCTACAAAAAGGTATTATTACTAGATAAGGATAAATGGGATGAAGTAGAAGAAAATTAAAATACTATATATCTCTTTATATATCATAGAGAAATATATTATAGAGATGTCGTTCTATTAAAAAAACCGGTGGCAGTAGATAAGGTAAAAAAAAAAAAATAAACGAAAATCTATTTGTTTTATTATTTTTTGGAGAAAAAAAATTTTGATTAATATTAACAAAATTTTTAACAATGAAGGCGATAGATGAGTTAACGTCGTTGTTTAGGATACCGCGAACATAGCGGGCTTTCTCTGTAGGGATGGGAGCGCTCGGTTCGGTTCAGCTCAGCTCATTGAGCGTTTCGAGTCGATTCGAGTTGACTCGAGTTGACTCTAAGTCACACGAAGACAGATCCTCTCTTATGGTAGCAGGCACATACCAAAGAATTCCCAGTTATAAGTGATATGGCACGGGATTATCTCACCATCCAAGCAACAAGTGTTCCATCAGAGCAGGCATTTTCGATTGCTGGAAATACCATTAGTAAAACGCGGAATCGCTTGTTGCCAGAGACTGCAAGAGCATGTTTATGCTTAAAAAGTTGGATAATAAATAAAATAGGAGATTAAAATGTAAATATTATTGAAATCATTTGTATAATAATTATTATTATTTTAATAAAAAAAAATTTTTTTTGTTATTTATTATTATAATTCGTTATTATTCATTCACAAATATGTTGTTTATGCTGAGAATGTTGCGAATAAATGTGAAATCGCCTGTTGCCAAACTCCAAGAGTGTATATATCTACGTATGAAAAGTTCAATAATAAATAAAATAGATTAATTGTTAACATTATGTTGAAATTGTTTTATTGTATGTAATATTAACAAAAAAAACACTATTTATTACTCATTTATTTATTATTATTCATAGATGCTGAAAATACCAGTAGAAAAATGTTATATGAATGTGTATGTAATTAGTAAATATTTAAATTTAATAAATTTAATAAAATGTTGTAATGTGTGTTACATTGTGTTACATCTGAGTTGACTCAGAGTTGATTCAGCGGTTCAGTATCGGTTCAAAACTCGGTTCGAGTCGACTCGAGTTATGAACCGCCTCATCCCTATTTCTCCGTGATTGGTCAATTTTAAGTTGATAATTTATTGGTTAATTTTTGTATGATGATCATTAATTAAAATTTTTAAAACAA